GGCTAACCCAGGTCCCGGGTAGCCCGTTGCCATGGTAACCCAGCAAGCCAACTCTGGACTGTGCTGTTGCCATGGTAACCAGGTCATTTTTAAACCTGGACGAACCCGTTGTCAAGGTTACCAGTTAATCCAAACCAGGATGAACCTGTTGCCATGGCAACCAGCTGACCCAGACCAGGAGGAACCTGTTGCCATGGTTACTAGGTCACCCAAACCTGAACCAACCTATTGCCATGGTAACCAGGTCACCCAGATCTGGAACAAACCCGTTGCCGTGGTAATCAAGTCACACCCTTCCCCCCGATCTGGGATGGACTGTTGCCATGGTAACCAGGTCACCTGGATATGGGCTGGCCCATTGCCATGGTAACTGTGTAACCTGGACTGACCTGTTGCCATGGTAACCCGGCTCTGGAACAACCCCGTTGCCGTGGTAACTGCGGTTACACGGTCTGCCTTTGCCTGTTGCCATGGCAACTGTGACCCACTGACCCTGCCCCCCCCCATGGTGACCCCCATGACCTCCTGGTGACCCCTGTGACCCCTCAGTGACCCCTGATCCCCCCCCCACCCCAATGACCCCCCAATGACCCCTCGGTGACCCCTTGACCCCACAGACCCCGTGGTCACTCCCTGGGTGACCCCTGACCCCCTGTGACCCCTGGGTGACCCCTGGGTGGCCCCAGGTAACACCTGGTGACCCCTGGGTGACCCCTTGACCCCACAGACCCCGTGGTCACTCCCTGACCCCGACGACCCCAATGACCCCGGTGACCCCTCGGTGACCCCTTGACCCCAGAGACCCCCAATGACCCCAATGCTCGCTGACCCCTGGGTGACCCCTGACCCCTGGTGACCTCTGAGTGACCCCTGGATGAGCCCAGGTGACCCCTGAGTGACCCCTGATCCTGAGTGACCCCAGGTAACCTCAGGTGACCCCCAGGTGACCCCTGACCCCAGGTGACCCCTGACCTTGGGTGACTCCCGAGTGACCCCTGGGTGACCCCAGATGACCCTGGGTGACCTCGGAGTGACCCCAGATGACCCCTGTGTGACCCTGAGTGACCCCGGGTGACCCCCAAGTGACCCCTGGTGACACCAGATGACCCCCGAGTGACCCCTGGGTGACCACTGGGTGACACCAGATGATCCCAGATGACCCTGGGTGACCCTGAGTGACCCCCAGGTGACCCCAGATGACCCCTAGGTGACCCCTGGGTGACCCCAGATGATCCCAGATAACCTCTGGGTGACCCTGATGACCCCTGGCTGACCCCAGATGACCTCAGATGACCCCAGGTGACCCCAATGACCCCCGGGTGACTCCAATGACCCTGGGTGACCCCCGAGTGACCCCTGAGTGACCCCTGAGTGACCAAGATGACCCTGGGTGACCCCAATGACCCCCGGGTGACCCCCAAGTGACCCCTGGGTGACACCAGATGATCCCAGATGACCCTGGGTGACCCCAATGACCCCCGGGTGACCCCAATGACCCCTGAGTGACCCCTGGGTGACCCCAGATGATCCCAGATGACCTCTGGGTGACCCTGATGACCCCTGGGTGACCCCAGATGACCTCAGATGACCGCAGGTGACCCCAATGACCCTGGGTGACTCTGGGTGACCCTGAGTGACCCGAGTGACCCCTGGGTGACCCCCAAGTGACCCCTGAGTGACCCCAATGACCCTGGGTGACCCTGAGTGACCCGAGTGACCCCCGAGTGACCCCCGAGTGACCCCCGGGTGACCCCCGGGTGACTCCAGATGATCCCAGATGACCTCTGGGTGACCCCTGGCTGACCCCTGGGTGACCCGAGTGACCCCTGAGTGACCCCCGGGTGACCCCTGGCTGACTCCAGATGATCCCAGATGACCTCTGGGTGACCCCTGGCTGACCACTGAGTGACCCCAATGACCCTGGGTGACCCTGGGTGACCCTGGGTGACCCCTGGGTGACTCCAGTTGATCCCAGATGACCTCTGGGTGACCCTGGCTGACCCCTGGGTGACCCCAATGACCCCTAGCTGACCCCCGGGTGACCCCTGGGTGACCCTGGCTGACCCCTGGCTGACCCGAGTGACCACCGGGTGACCCCCGGGTGACCCCTGGGTGACTCCAGATGATCCCAGATGACCTCTGGGTGACCCCGAGTGACCCCCAGGTGACCCCAATGACCCTGGGTGACCCTGGCTGACCCCTGGGTGACCTGAGTGACCCCCGGGTGACCCCCGGGTGACCCCAGATGATCCCAGATGACCTCTGGGTGACCCTGGCTGACCCCTGAGTGACCCCAATGACCCTGGGTGACCCGAGTGACCCC